CTCATCCGTCCACACCGCTATGAGAGGGAAAAATGAAATAAAAAATGCTTTAGACCAGGGTGACCCAACCAGTCGATGAGATTCCCAGTCGATAGCGAGATGTGTCTAAAAATAGAACAACAATATTCTGTTTTATCGTTAATGTCCTATAACATAATCTTCCTGTGCCAGAATAATGCACTTGAACGCATCAAAGCTTTGTGATTGGCCGGCGTGACCCCATGTGTCGGGCGTGGCTGGTGGGCAGTGGATTAGTTCGCTGACGTTGTCCGCGTCAACAGGAGTGACAGTCCGCACACACACAAGACCGCAATTATGGCAGAAGCAAAAAAAAACAAGATATATAATTTTCACTCCGAGTGGGAGGATGATTATTTTGTTATCTATTCCAATTCAAAGTCCATCTGTCTCATCTGCAATGCGAGCGTGGCTTTATCGAAGAAGGGTAATTTAGGAGCGGCATTTCAAAACAGTGCACAAACGCTACGAGACGGAATTCCCTCCTAATTCTGCCCTACGCTCCCAAAAGGGGAGGGACCTGAAAGGACAGCTAAATGCACAGCAGTCCATTTTCACCAGGTCCAACAACAAGAGCAAGGCTGCTACCATAGCATCTTATCGTGTCAGTCACGTTCTTGCGAAACACATTAAGTCTTTCAAAGACGGCGAAGTTGTGAAAGAAGCATGGAGGCTGCCGACGCGCTTTTGGGGGACAGTAAAAAATAACAGTAGCATTTCAACAGGTTTTTGATGAAAACTCAAATTAGATACCGTTATTAATCAGCTGTAATTTTTAGTTTGTTTGAACTTATTCATTATAATTATTGTACAAAATGGTATAAGAATGCAAACATTAAGATCTGTTCAGTTTAAATTGATTATAGTCTATTATCAATTCAGGTTAAGAAACTAGTGTTGATTGCATCATATTTTTAAAAAGGCATTTATTTGTATACTCTAATAAAATGCAACAAAAAAAGGGTTTGATTCTATTAATTGTCTTTTTTTATTGCACTTTGGCAGCAGATTCTTGTGTAGCTTCAGATCTGAGTTGTCTTATTAGTAAGCCTAATTTATACTTTTGTAGCAACACTATTTTTAAATAATGGCAAAGAAAGGGTTCAGAGTCTTTTCTTTTTTTCCCTGTGTCATATGTGGCATCACTGTTCAATGTTTCTTGAAAACATTACCCACTGTAGTATGTGACGTGTGAATAAACTCCAACTCTGTATCAACAACACTGTCATGTAGCTTCAGTTAAATACTTGTATGTGTGTAGATTAGAAAGAGGTAAGATAAAGGATCTGCAGTATTTTATGAAGTATTCATCGTATTAAATCGTAGAAAGATCAGTTTTATACAAGTAGAAGTGTGTATTTACCTGGTAGTAGGCTTTCAGTAATGGCTACGCCTCTATTTGGACTGGTAGATCTCGGCAGACTGGCAACTTTAAAAGTAGCTCCCGGTTCAAAAAAGGTTGGGCACCCCTGATATATAGTGTTGAATTTTTGTATGACAATGTATTACAAATGGTGGACCTTCCCAATAAATATTTTTAAAAATTGTGTTTTTAGTCCTTCGTTCTTTAAAATACTGGTAGCAATCATGTTTAGATTTTTGGGGGTTAAAAGACACTTGACATCAACAACTAATCTGAATACTTGTACAGAGGATGGAGGATAAATACTGTGCAAACAATGCATTGTCCCTCCTGGAATATTAACCCTTGGCTTAGGCAGTAAAACAAACAATGTTATTGCTTTACAAGTTGTCGGGTATTTTGCTTTTACATGTTGCATTTGTTATTGCATATTAGCATCAATGCAACCAGGCTGCATAACATTTTGCCTGAAAGCTCACCTAGCATGCTATGTTTAGGCAATAGCATAGGTCTCAGATAAATAAAAATATATAAAAAAACATGTCTATGAAGTGTTTTGCTCAAAATACAGCCTCATATCCCTCATATTTCACTTCCTGTTTCAAAAGTGGTGATTTAGGGTATAAAGCTTTAAAAAAAAAAAATATAAAAAAAAGGGGGGTGGAGCTTATGTCTGCTCATGCGGGAGATTCTACCGGAAGATTCTGCGGTGATGAAACGCCGTATCATGGATTATCAAAGATTATCAAGGATTATTTCTGAAACACTATGGAGCTCAAAGGCTTTCTCTCTTGCCGGTTATACCACAAGGTGGGTTCCTTTTGATATGCAGCTTCTTCACACACATGCTCTCCAGTACAGGTTAGCTCTGAGTGTTAGCGATGCTAATGTGAACACCGACCATATTACGTCCAAAACAGTCGAGTATTGTTTCTGATAGTGCCGTGGGTCCACATTTCCGATATGATATCATATCGTTTTCAGACCGTTGTACCTCCGTTTTTGGAGATTTAGGTACGGAGGAAAAGAGAGACGGTTTTATTTTCTGATGCTGCGTAAGTTCCCTGACACACCGGGGATGCATATTTATGTATAAAAGACATCAAAAAGTGCATTTTGCATGATAGGTCCCCTTTAAGCTAAATTTGAGATGAAAGTGCAAGTGCTTGTCTTTATGACTTAAAGTATGTACCGAGTGAGCCCATAAGTAAATATCTGATCTGATGATTACAGCTGTGGATAATCTCGTACCTGGGATTGTTCTTCAGTGTGTTGACCAGAAACTCATGGACATCGATGCCCGTGGAGTCAGTGTATTCCTGACTGGAGTCTAACAGAGAGATGGAAAAGGTAAATAGGCAGGGAAGGGTAAGAACACATTGGGAGACTTGTTAGGTACAGTAAGGAGCAAGTGACACTTCCGTAAAGTAGGTTAGAAAGAGCAAAGTCAGAATGATTCCAAGCATAGCTTCTAAAATGGCACCCAAACACACCGGCAACAATTGAATTGACAAACATAACCATCAGAGAGCATGAGACACCAGCTCTGTTTTTTTACGCACAAACACACAGTCTTTCGGGATCATTTTTCACTACACTAGACAGTTGGGCTAGCCATTTCATCTCAGATGCTCTAATGACACCTGAGGGCCTCAGAAGAGAAAGGGAGTGAGGTAGGTAATTTGAAAAGAAGAGGGAGGGATCCCATTATCTTCCAAAGAAAATTAGCATGACATGATATTAGATTCAGTATTAATAATACACTGGACATTACATTTACATGTAACAGTCGTGACACTACAAAACCTTTTTTAAATGATTAATGTGGGACATTTTAAATTACACCGTTATTACGCATTAATTGTATTTGAGTAAGAAGAATTAATAATAAAAAAAATAGCTCAATTTATTAGCAGCTTTTAATCCTATCTTGTTCAGGGTTACAAAATGCCAAAGACAACAGGCTACAAAACATATTTGGCCTTACCACGTGACAACATCTTCCGTGGAGCCTTGTCCTTCTTCTCCTTCTCTTCATTCTCATATTCGTCCTTTGAGGACTTCTCTTCCTCCTTGTCTGACGGACAGCTGATGTGAAGCTGGATAATTTCCTGGAAAACCACATTCCATTGCTATGAGAAAAGTTGGTAACATTTCCATTTTTCTTTATTCTATTAAGTATAGCTCAAAATGCATACACTTTCATTGCATAGAGGAAATTGCAGGCTAGGCTGACACGGTGAAGAGGAAAGTTAGAGTTAGGGGTTACAGAAATAAACAGTACCGATTCTGGAGGTCCATCAGTGGAGAACGGACCGGAGGACTCCTCACATACTGCCAGACTCCGTACCAGCTTCAGCTTGGCATTAGACTGAAACAAAATCAAATATTATATATATACATATATATATATATACATATATACACATATATATATATATATATATATATATATACATATATACACATATATATATATATATATATA